TGAGTTCAAATCCAGCCTCAGACACATAACACTTACTGGCTGTGTGACCCTGGGCAAGTCAATAACCCCATTGCCTAACCAAAAAAAAAAAAGAAAAAAGAAAATATGTTCATCGTCAGGAGGTAGAGTACCTTGTTTGATGAACAGTAAGAAGACACCTAGATGGCACAGTGGATGGTTCAGATCTGGCTTGTGGTGTGTGACCACCCTGGTTAAGTCACTTAACCCTGTTTTGCCTAGGTTCCTTATCTGTAAAATGAGCTAGAGAAAGGAATGGCAAACTAGTATCTTTGCCAAGAAAATCCCAAAAGGGGTCACAAAGAATCAGAATCCTGAAGGCAAAGAGGAGCTAGGATGTATCTGAGGCTGCATTTGCACTTGGTGGTCTTACTGACCCCAAGCCCAGTGCTCTATCCACTGAATTGCCTATGGTCATAGGAATGTGATTTGAACTCCCACTTCTAAATGAGGAAGTCATTGTGGGGGTATTTCAGACATTATCCAGTTGGGGAGATATTAATGGTTTTCTGGAGAGTTAATCAGGCCCTGGGCCCAGGGTGGCTTGGCAAGGGGAGGACCTGCTGGTCATTAGCACTTTGAGCACATTAGACATTAGCACTCACGTGCTAGGTTCTGGCAGGTAGAAATCCTTTATCCAATAATAAGTCTAGGAAGGTGGTAGCTGGGAGCTTTCTTTTTCTATAAAGCTTGAGTACACTGTATAAATGAGAGGTTGAGACTTGATTACTATGGTAGCTGCTGTTTACCATATAAAATACCAAACCTGACTTTGGATATAATCTTTGTCAGAACATGAGTGCTTAGCATACCACAAGGAAAATGAACTACCTTCTCAGATTGGGGGTGGGGGCTGGCTAAGTTTCTTCTAGGGGAAAAGACTCAATCTACACAACCGTCTTTAAAAGGCTTATAAGCTAAGCATCTTTTCTCTGGCAAACTCAGACACTTTAATTCAGACTTAAATACCTAGTGCCTGGCTAGAGGTCAGTCTCTTCCCCAGCCCCAACCCCCACCCCCTTACCTACTGAGTGTTGAAATTCAAAGGGGCTGAGTGACTTGCCAGGAGGTCACACTGAATCAGCACCAGAGACCTTGTGACTTCCAGCCACTGCTTAGTCAAGCAAAGAAAGGCCTTGCAACCCATTCCCCACAGACCATTACCATAATATCAAGAGCAAAACAACTGGGTTAAACAGTCTTCCTCCTGATCAACTACTGACCTCCCTGGCCTCCATTTAAGTTGTCCCAACTAAAATCTTTAACCAATCCCTCCTTTTTTAAAAATTTTATTTTTTAAATTCTTTTTTTTTTTAAAGAATTTGAGTTCCAATTTTCTTCCCTCCTGCCACCCCCCACCCAATATGCAATATGATGTCAATTATATATTCAACCCCTCTTAATTCCAGTGTCTTCTCTATGCTAATTGTTAATGTGCTAATTCAGTCATCTTAGTTGTGTCCTAGTCTTTGGGACTCCATTTGGAATTTTCTTGGCAAAGATGCCGGAGTGGTTTGTTTCCTTCTCCAGCTCATTTATACTTGAAGAAACTGAGGCAAACAGGGTTAAGTAACCTGTCTAATGTCACACAGACAGAAAGTGTCTGAGGTTAAGTTTTAATCCAGGTCTTCCTGACTCTAGGCCCTGCTCTCTATCCACTTCACCATCTAGGTGCCCTCTTTACTAATTATTTTCTGTTTATCCTCTATACGTCTCACAAGCACGTTGTCTTCTCCTCCCTCCCCCCTGCCCCGTTAGATTGTAAGACTCATTGAGGACAGGGACTGTTTTTTGCCTCCCTTTGTATCCCAAGCTCTCAGCATAGTGCCTGGCACAGGGTTGTTGTGAGTATCTTTTCTTGGCAAAGATAAGTAAAGTGATTTGCCATTTTCTTCACTGAGATCAAACGCTGGTCATCCTGACTCCAGACCCAGCCCTCTGTGCCTGCTTGGCACATAGTAGGTACTTAATGTTTGTTTACTGACTGACTTATTAAGGACCTCTAGCAATTAAGAACTTTGCTAGACGTTGGAGCAGTTGAAGTTGAGAAGGTTTTGCCCTAGTCTTGTGGGGGAATGCAGGAGGCCAATTGTGGTACAGTAGAAAAAAGAAGTGGTTCTGGGGTCAAAGGCCCTGGGTTCAAATCTCAGATCTCACCTCTGATCTTGGACAAGTCATTGGTCTTAAAACAGATCTAGTATTCTACACGTGAATAGATTTAGGGCTAGATAGACCTCGGAAGGAATCTAGTCCATCCAACGCCAGAGAATTTGGCACTTAGTTTTAATAAGTAATGAGTAGTGCTAGGACCTGACCCAAGCCACCTGATTGTAAATTCAGTTTTCTTTCCACTTTATCTCACTGAATCAGATATGAGAGGTTCTATAAATTGATTGTTATGAGGAATTCTCCATTGTGGAAACACAACTCAGTACACAAACACAGTAACTTGGTCTTAGAGAGTAGTCTCTTGAGAGTTTTGTCACATAGTCCAGTAAGTATCAGCAGCCCAGATTGAACCTGGATTTTGTTGTTTGCAAGGCCTACATATAATTTCAGTTGATCCTCACAGCAATCCTGTGAGTTAGACTTTTTTCATTGTCCTGAAAAGGAACTGTGAGAGTAAGAGGACCACACAGTATCTTATGAGTTTTGAACTGGTTTTCAGGACTTTATACCAAGTGTTCTACCCAGCTGCCATCTATCAAAAATCCTGCTAGAAACGAATGCCTATCAAATTCTTAAAATCAGATGGGTTAAACATAAGCCAGTCCATGAATTGGGAAACTACCAGCCTTGTCAGGAAAACAGATTGGCCCAGGTAAAAAGTCAGAGCTGGAAAAGGCCTTGGAGTGTTCAGTCCCCTTATTTCATAAATAAGGCACCAAAGAAGGCCCCTTAAGGGAAGACTTATTTTTATCTTTTATTTTGATCACTCTCGTTTCCAAATAGGTAACCCTTACCCCATCTCCTAGGGCAGCTAGGTGGTACTGGGCCTGGAATCAGGAGGACTCTTACTGATTGAAATCTTACTGATTTCAAATCTGGCTTCAGATACTTAACAGTTTTGTGACCCTGAGCAAGTCACTCTTGTTGCCTCAGTTTCCTCATCTGCAAAATGAGCTGGAGAAGGAAATGACAAATCATTCCACCATCTTTGCCAAGAATACCTCCACAGTTGACTGAACAGCAACCTCAACTTCTGGAGCCATAACTTTTGACCAAAGATTTAAAGGGGGGGAGGGCAGTTCAGCCAAATTAATGAACAATCTAAATTTAATTTAATTAAGCTTGGTCATTTATTATTAATGGCACAGCATTCAGTTTTGAATTTTCTCTTCAGATTATACTTGTGGCACAGTGGATAGAACCTGATTTCTAGTCTTGCCTTTAACCCTTACTAGCTGTATGACCCTGCACCGGTCACTTACCTCCTCAGCTTCAGTTTCCTTATCCATAAAATGGGGATAATAGGACCTACAGATCTTTCTATGAGGATCCAATAACATAATATAAATAAATAATATAAATGCCACTCTAGGGCCCAGCAGTGGCGCAGAGACAAAGATACTCTGCAGTGTTAGTGGCCCGAGTAATGTGTTTTTTCAGATCATGTTACTTTGTTATTAGTAAGCCTGTCCTGTAAAGAGCAAAATGATACATAATCATCTCTTGAGCAACAGCTCAGAGCTGGGTAAAGCTTCTGTGTGGCAAGGAGCCAGGTAAGTTACAACAGATTTGGCAGGGGCCACACACACAGCTTTGGTTTCTTTGAAATTTAGCTCTGGGCTCTTCTAAGAGATAGAGACTGCCCAGGGTGGGGGCATGGAACCTGCTGAATAAATAGATGAAAAGGGATTTACTAATGGAAAAGGCTAGACAGCCCCCCCCCCCACTTTCAAGGAGCTCATCCAATTGGAGGTGATAGCAACACATGAAAGAAAGTTTGGCCACAGGGCAGATTGAGGAAGGGCCAGAAGTCCTAAGGGTACAGTGATTGGGTTGATGTCAAACCCCCAAGGGTTGCTAGATCAGAAGATATTTCCAGGGGTCTGGAGGACATAGGCAGCTAGGTGGCCCAGTGGGTAGATCCCTGGGCCTAGAGAGTTCAAATCTAATCTCAGACCCTTATTAGCTGTGTGGGCAAGTCACTTAATCTCTCTCTGCCTGCCCCATTTCCACCACTGTAAAATGGGGAAAATAATATCTATATCTCAGAATTATAGTGAGGATAATCTTTGTAAAATACTTAGCACAGTGCCTGGCACATAGTAGGTGCTTATAAATGCTTGCTTCTTTCCCCTTCCCCCTTTCCCAGTGGCCAAACTGATGGTAAGCTATTAGGAGATATATCAGATTTGCAGTCAAGACCTGGGTTTGAATTTCAACTCTTCTTTCCTCTCTGCATGACTTTTGGCATAGCAAAAAGAGTGTTTTTAAAAAGTATTTTAAAATCAGGCCTCAGGCAGTTTCCTAATCATTAAGTTCTCCCTAGAGAACTTTTAGTATAATCCCTTATTGGGGCAGCTAGGTGGTACAATAGATAGAGCACCGCCTCTGAAGTCTGGAGGGCCTGAGTTCAAAATCAACTTCAGACCAAACACTTGACACTAGCTGTGTGACCCCAATTGCCTTAAAAAAATATATCTATCTATCTATCTATCTATATATATCTATCTATATATCTACCTATATCTATATATATCTATATAGATATATATATCCCTTATTTCACAGAGAAGGCCCAGAGAGTTTAAATGGTCACCTAGAGGTAATTTTCTAGTTACCTCTTGCCTTACTTTCCAAAAGAGGAAGCTGAGGGAAACTTGCCTAAAATCACACAGCTTTTAGATTGCTGGGTCTTTATCCTAGGTCTGCTGACTTCCAGTCTGTCTTAATTCTATTCTCACATTAGAAGCAGTGTGGTTTATTTATAAAAGTCAGACAGCGAAAGGTTTCATGAGGTTTTTCTCTCTTTCCAGGTAAATCAGGAATTCGTTTCCCAACATGTGGCAGTTCTTGGCCACTCTGTGCAGCCTGGTTGTACTGACCAGTGCTCGGAGCAGATCGTCCTTTCCTCCTCTTTCAGATGAAATGGTCAACTACGTCAACAAACTCAATACCACATGGCAGGTTTGTCTCGGGAATGTGCAGTTCACAAGGCAGCGGCCAGTTGTGCGAAAAACATTTTTGTATTCAGAAACAATGGAAATGTTTCTGAAATATAAACTATGGAAATATAAACTGTTATTGTGCAAGAATTTTTTTCCCTGAATACTTTAATTGATTCATGAGCTCATCAACGGGAGCTTTCTGGTGGTACAAATCATAACCCATCAACCCTTTTATTAATTTGTGCTCTTGTTCTCCCATAAGTCTTTGACAGAGAATTCTGTCATTTTTTTTCCCTATTAAACATATTTTCACATTAGGGATCTTGTAAGTAAGAATTGGAACCGATAGGAGGAACCACCAGGAAGAGGAGACAAAACAGAAGAAAAAAAATATATGTGAGAGTTATTTAACGTTTATGTGGATGCTCTATTAGAGTGAAGCTTTTAAGGTTGTTGGAGGCAGTAGGAAAGAACTACATTTGCAGAGTCTCAGAATGAACCATACTGGAACATAGCCCACATGAAGTCTGCTCCTTAGTCTGCTTTTATTTACCATATTCATTCTGGTCATCTGAGTTCTAAGTAATTCAAGATAATTTTTTTTATTTACAACTAAAATTGTAACCGCCACTGAATTAGCTTCTAAGCTTCCATGCCAGCTTATTAAAAATTGACAAACTGGAGAAACCTTTTTCCATAAGCAGTTACTCAATGTATGTGTCCCACTGTTCAGCCATTAAGACTGCAAAAGTCTTTTCATCCTCTTTCTGACAACCTCATTTGGTCTCTCTTCAAATGCCAATCACCTCTCTCTCCAGAATGACATTTAAGCTTCCAGTCTCCCACAGACTCCCAATAGAATGACAGTTTAACTGTACTCTTCAAAATTTCAAATCCTCTTAAAGAAACAGTTTCTATAGTCTCTGTAGGTGAGGCTGTTGAAGCTGATGTTCTAAGAACTGTGGGACTCTTGTTACTAGAAGATTGAAGCTGGGTAGAGAAAGGTACTTTATTTTGTTAATATATGCCTAATGTGATTGTCTGCCAGTGGGACGATCTCAGTGGCCGAGCAATGACTGCTAAATAACATGACCTGCTTAGTAAGTGATGTGTTTTGTTTTGTTTTGTTTTGTTTTGGGGGGGGGAGACAGGACACTTTTTCTATTGCTCATTAATGACCAGTAAGTTTCGTTTTAGGCTGGGCACAACTTCCGTAATGTGGACATGAGCTACGTAAAGAAACTCTGTGGTACCTTCATGGGTGGAGCCAAGCTACTACCTCAGAGGTATTGGGTCATGGGAAGGGTAGAACCTGAGGGAGAAGAGAGGGGTGGGGTCATGGTATCATGACCTTCTTCTTGAGAATTCAGAGCACAGGACCCCAAGATTTCATCTAGGTATTTACTTCATTTCCACTGTAACTTGATTCTTCTAAGTACTATAAACTCAGACTTAAGGCCTGAGAATACACTGGGACCAGCCAGTGAGATTTTATGATGAGACTAGGAGAAGGCTGCTAGGTCTTAGGGACATTTGGGTCTAAGGCAAGACTGTTGCCTCCTTCACACCCTGTTTCTGATGAGTCTTAAGACTCATCTTCCTCCTTCTTCCCTACCTCCCACCCCCCTTCTTTTCATCTGAGGAAGATAGAGGCAGAACAGTCCCATTTGGCCTCTTGAAACAAAGTTGTGTTCTTTACCCAGAATGTTTTTGGCTGATGGCATGAAGCTACCAGAAAACTTTGATGCCCGAGAACAGTGGCCAAACTGCCCAACCATCAAGGAAATTAGAGACCAGGGTTCCTGTGGCTCTTGCTGGGTAAGGATGGGGGGGGGGGGGCTAGAAACAAAGACATTTGGAGGCAGCATGGACCTCAGACCTACCTCAGACTTGGACTAAGGAGAGACCTGCATTTCCTAGGCAGGTTACTCCCATTTTATAAATAAAGTAACTTGAGGCTTCAGCCAAGTGAATTAACATTTACCTCTCAAGGTCAGTGTAAAGAAAATGCTTAAAGTTTATAAACATGAGATGCTTAGTAACCCTGGAAAATCCCTTCCCTTCTTAGGGTCTCATTATTCCCCTCTGTAAAATAAAGAGATTGAACTAGATGATTTCTTTAAGGTATCTTTCAGCTTCCCATTTACTTACCCAGGCCAGACATCCTGTTCTATATTGCTTTGTACCCTCTTTGTTACCCTACTCCAGCATCAGGAAAAGTTAGAGGGAGAAGGTATATTTGGGGAGAGGGAGGGAAAGATTGGCTTTACTTTTCAAAGTGAAGTCCTTTTTAAGACTGAACAACGAAGCCACTTAAATTCAGCACCAGTAGAGAAGGATGGCTCTCCCCAAAGGAAAATCTAGGCACAGTACAGGTTATGGGGTAGCAGATGTGGTTGCCCAGTCATCACCCTTAGATACTGATCCTTGAATGATTTTCATGAATCATCTTTCATGTAACATCTAACTGGCAGATTCTTGGGTATATCTCACTCATCCATTTGGGTTTTTCTTGCACTCCTTGTCGATCTCTGCTTCTCCTTGGATTCATCTTCACATTTGTTCCCACAGGCATTTGGAGCTGTGGAAGCCATTTCTGATAGGATCTGTGTGCACACTGGTGGAAATGCCAATGTAGAAGTCTCTGCTGAGGACCTGCTTAGCTGCTGTGGATTTGAGTGTGGGGAAGGGTGAGTCTTGGTCCTAAGAGACAGTGGGGGTTAGGGCCCAAGCACAAGCGCTAACTTTTAACTGCTTCCTGGGATGATTCCCAAGAACCAGTGGGAAAAGGAAACAGAGTTACATAATCCATGACCATTAGAATCAAGACCCCCATTCGTCTTGACATACGGTGTTCATTAGCCCTGAGGTGGATATTCTCGAGAGTGGCACCCTTGTCGTTCACTCTCTACTTTTTTTGAAAGTAGATCAGTACTGTTTAAAAAATGCTTTGGAAATAGCCAGCCCATTGAGGGCCCTAAAGTCAGACAGAGTATGCAGGGACAAAGATCAAGGTTCATCCTTTGGGGTAGGGTAATTACGTTGTAGCAAGATACAGAGGAAAGAGTTCTGGGCTGTGGAATCTGAGTTTGACTCCTTGCTTTGCCATTTTATACTTGGGTGACTTTGAGCAAGTCACTGGGCATCAGTCTCCTTATGTGTGATGTGAGGGGGATTGGACTAGACAACTTTTAAGGTGGCTCCCAGATCTGGCTACGGAACATGGCAAAGGAGACGATTAGATCTTGTCAGAGCCTATAAATTGTTGGTTTTGTGTTTTTGCAGTAAATTTTGAAAAAGCTCTAGTAAGCATGCTTGTATATAAATACAATCTCATTTGGCAGCCAAAAAGCTGGTGTCATCTTGGACATCATCCAAAACAAAAGGGAGGTGATGGTCTTGCTGTACTAGTCTGACCCCATCTTGATTATTGTATTCACTTCTGGGTGCCACCACAAAGGAAGGACACTGATGAAATGTCATTCAAATATTAGTTCAGGGAACTAGGAATGTTTGGTTTGAGAGAGACCTTTATGTATACACATGTAATTTATATATAAGTATACAATGTAATTGTGGTGGGTGTGTGGGTGTGTGTATATTATATATATATATTTATATATATATATATATTTTATATATATACATATATACACATACACACACACACATATACACATTTGTATGTGTATCTGTATGTAGGCACGTGTGTGTGTGTGTGTGTGTGTGTGTGTGTGTGTGTGTGTGTGTGTGTGTGTATAAAAAGGTCCTTGGTGTAGAAAGAGGGATTAGAGTTAACTTTTCTTGGCCTTAGAGGTGGGACTAGGAGCCACAGGCAAAAGTAAAAGGTAGATTTCAAATTGATTTCAGGAAAAGCTTCCTAACAAAAGTAGAACCAGATAAGATGAAGGAGTTGCCATTTCTACCTATCTCCATCTCCTCCCATTTTGTCTAACCTTACCTTACCAGACCCTTCTAGTGACAGGCCCCTTACTAATTACTGAAACAGCTTGTTCTTATCTGGACTTGTCTCCTAGCTGTAATGGTGGCTTTCCTTCTGGAGCTTGGAGGTATTGGACCAAGAAAGGCCTTGTATCTGGTGGCCTCTATGATTCCCATATAGGTAAGTACCCATTCCTTAAATTTTAAAATTTAAACCCCGTGTGGGGTCTCAACACACAGTTTAAGAAAGTACTTGAAGGGGTCTGGAGTAGAAAAAATTTAAGAAGCCCTGCCTTAAAGTGCTTTGTTGGTATATTCATGAATCTCCAAGTGTGGCTTTCTTTGCAAGCAATGAAAGTGCCCATTTTACTTGGCCTTGCTTTGTGATAGGGGAAGAAGGAGCTTTGGTTTGTCCTTCTGGTTATTTAAGTTGGTTTCTAAGGGAGAGACATTAAGATTTCCTTTGGTCCTTCAGTCACAGTATCATAGATAACAAAAGACTTAAGTTTGGGTTTTTAGCTATAGCCTTGCACAAGTCCCATTTTCCTGTTCCATGATATGGCAACAATATTTGTCCCTTATTCCCTAGGGTGAGTGGGATCTGCAACTTCCCTCCCTTTTTTTGCTGAGGTGTGGGGGATGTAGAATGTTGTATGTACCCTGACTGAGTTGGTGTTTGGTTTTTCTGAACTATTTTTCGTTTCTTAGAAGAAGAATTGTTTTAGCTAGGGGATTGGGGAGAGATAACGTTAGGATCCCTATGCAAGTCAGGGTTGTGTAAAGAACAATACCAATGTAAAAGCTTTCTTTATATAAATATTATAGGTTGACATTTTCTCAGTTTAAGGAAATGAGATGGATGAAAAGATTAAAAGGATGTATTGGTTCTTCTCATATTCTTAGTATTATGGTGGTCTCTACTCTGCTATTGTGATAACTTGCTTATGAGCTGAAGAGAGAAATAGTGTGGGAGAAGTATGGGGAAAATACACAGAGTAGGCAGGATAGGTTAGTTCCAGGAAGGCCTTTCCTAAGACCCAAGGTCCAGAGTAGGAGTAAAGTGACTAAAATCTTAACCCCATTGCTGTTTGGTTCTGTCAGGCTGCCGACCCTACTCCATCCCTCCATGTGAGCACCATGTGAATGGTTCCCGCCCTGCCTGTACTGGAGAGTCAGGAAACACCCCCAAATGCAGCAAGAAGTGTGAAACAGGCTATTCTCTTGACTACAAAGATGACAAACACTATGGTGAGCAGTACCGAGGTTCTGTATGAAGGGCTAGAATTAGCAGTAAATAATAAATCTCTTTCCCTTAAGGGCCTGTGGGGTTGTGGTTTTGCATCCTACACCAGCTCAGGTCTTAAGCTCTAGGCTGACTAGGCATTCTCAAGGCAATAAAAACAAGAGAAAGTCCCCCTGACTATCGTGCAAGGAATGTTTAGAAATGCTTGGGCAGAAGGAGAATACTGGACAATCCTTCAGCAGCTGGCAACATAAAGCTGGATGCTGAGGCTAGGTGAAAGTGGGGCAGGGGGAGGAGTTGGAATGGAGTTTCAAGTCCCTTTCCCTGTTGAGTCCCAGATGGACAAAACCCAAGTCATGGAACCCTGAAGTCCCAAGTTGACTATTCTGTCTTGACTTTCAGGATCAACCTCTTACAGTGTACCTTCAAGTGAGGAGGAGATCATGGCTGAGATCTACAAGAACGGCCCTGTGGAAGGAGCTTTTCTCGTGTACTCTGACTTCCTCCAGTACAAGTCTGGTGAGTTGTTTTCATTATGCCTGCTTCAGTTGAAGGTAGAGGGATAAGGTCAGAGGCTATCAGGTAAACGATGTGGCAGAAATGACCACTTGACCACAAAACTATTGGTGACTTGTTCTCAGTCACACACCTATTAAGTTATTAGCAAGACTAGAATTAAAATCCTGGTCTCTTGGTTCCATATCCAGTATTCTTTCTACTCTTCCCTTCCACGTTATTTTCATAATGATAAAGCTTTCTGGCAAACAGACTTGATTAATGTCCACAGAAATTAAGGCCTTAGCCCACAAACCTCTTCCTTGCCTAAGGTCTTCCTTCTTTGCTCCATTCCCAGGAGTATACCAGCACGTTACTGGAGAAATGCTTGGAGGCCATGCCATTCGTGTCCTAGGCTGGGGTGTGGAGGATGGTACTCCTTACTGGCTGGCTGCTAACTCCTGGAACACAGACTGGGGTGATAATGGTGAGTAAAAAAAGCTGCTAGAAGCTATGTATTCCTGAGAATACCTGTTCTCTTCTCCAGGGGCTTTTAATGGTGCAAATCCAAATATCGGTATCATTTGGGGTCCATTTAGTCCAGAAGTAACCCAACCCTAAGTCCAGCCCCACCTAGTTTTCTATCATAGGCCAAGTTTGGCCCTAAAAAAATACCAAGGTGCTCTGGAAAACAGTTTAACCTAACAACACCCTGCTTACCATCTCACCAAAAAAGCCAGCTAGGAGCTTATGGGGGGGAGGAGGTGGAGATAAAGTCATCATGTCCTAGAGACAAAAGCCAGTGCAAAGATTTTATTCTCATACCTTTACCCCTGGAGTTCTGCTCTGTAGAACTTCCTGAAGGCAGCTGGAAGGGGTTAATGACTTGAGATGAAGGATGGCTGACCTAAAACTCTTTGCTAGAGCAAAGGGACTGGGAGAGAGGTATTTGTATGGGCTGGTTTAATTTTAAATTGACAAGTGAGAGTGAAGTATGTCACTCAGTAGGCAAGAAGTGCTTTTTAGGATGAATTTCAGGCTTTTTATTTTTTTCCCAGGTTTCTTTAAAATTCTCCGTGGAAAGAATCACTGTGGGATAGAATCCGAAATTGTGGCTGGAATTCCCCGAACAGATCAATATTGGAGGAAGTAACCTGTCATTTGCCCAACTTTAATTTTTTTAAAAAAGAAAAAAAACGGGAATGGGAGAAATGAATATTTTTAAAAGACTTGAGCTGGAGAGAGATGCTCTCTAATCATTCATATTTTGTTTAAACAGGAAGATGAAGGGGAGATTTTAGACAAATCACTGGGCTTTGAGAATTTGGTTGAACTGAATTCTTGTGGAGTCAGCCAGCTCCATCAATAATACATTCTTCTTGGTCTGACTCCACCTAATGCATGCCATTTCAGTTTTAAGTAATTCTGTGAATAGCACATAGCACTGCTGGCAACAGGCTGTGTACTACACTTGAGACCCCTGATGCTTTCATTAAAAAGGTCTCTTTCCATAAGTGTTTCCTAATTCTTTCCCTGTTGTCATGTCTCCTGCAAGTTCCCATCCACCCCAAAATCTTTTAGGAGTCTGAAATAGCCAGGAATCAACAATAATAAGGGAAGAGTGTTTTGTTTTGTTTTGTTTTTCCCAAGGTTTTATCCCACAGGAATGGGAAACAAGGTTGTGGTGGTTTTTTTTTTTTTTATGTCTTGAGTAGGAAGGAAGGAAAGATTCTCAGAAGTCAACTTTTGACTCCCAAATGATTTTATTGGGGGAGGGGGCGGACCACAAGGCTTTGGAATCCTAATCTGCCCCAATTCTCACTGCTAACAATCCCATACTATGCTTTCTTAGGCCAGTTAGTGCCAGTCCGCCTGAAGCCATCAAGCTTTGCAGTATGCACACACCCTTAGGTCTGGTGGCAAGATTCAAATAGATCAGCCTCTATTTTTGTTAGTGTACCTTGGCTAATCGTACAAAGAAGAGTTGCCAGGATCAGTTGTACTCAATAGAAGCTTGACCCTGTGGTTTTAAAGGGAAGACTGGGTGGTGGTTACTACCCCAAGAGCAATATTCCCTCTGCTCACCTTCTTGGGGAGGTGGAGGATAATATCGCAGGATGCTGATGTCCACAGGAGAAACAAACTCTTAACTTTTCTTTAACCCTGTTAAGCAATTTAACGTCAATGTTGGTTTTAGTGACTGAATGGAACCCAGAACCCTTGTGCCAATAAAATATTTCTCCTAAATACTTTGGATTTTTCTGTTTTGGTGGGTAGTGGAAGGAAGAGGTTGAGGAGAGGTGTTTCTCCCCAAACTGAAGTCAATGATGGGTGCTTTATTACTAAGCCAAGGATTCTTAGTCTTTTGTGTTATGGATCGTTTTAGCAGACCGAAGCCCAAGGATTTCTCAGAATTTTGCTTTTAAATGCATTAAATAGAAATATTTAGTATGTACCATATTTATATATAAATATACAATACAAAGCACAGTAGTATCCTTTTGTACTCTTCCGAAATAGCTTAAGTTTTGCAAGCATTGATGAACCTCATCTTGTACTACTTTATAGGATCGTAGATCTAGTTAACGATTTCAGATACCGTATAGTCCAACACCCTATTTTAGATGAGGAAACATGGCCCATTAAGGTTTAGTGACTTGCCCAAGGTCACCCAACAAAGGTATTAAAACACCATAGGCAGATTCTGGTCTAAATAGCTCAGTACAACTCCCCAAAATCCACTGGTTATCCAAGGGCTTGGGTTATATAAAATTATATTAATGTTGAGTAACTTCAAGTAATCATCTTGCAAAATAAGCCTTGGTTAATCTCAAATGGATCTTTTTTCTTTCGGTATGCTAAATGACTATGGACCCATTTATCTTTTGAGTGACTTAAATTTACCTGTATCCTCCCTCCCTGAAAGCCATCCTTTCAAATTCTAAAGAATCAACATGATCAATTCACCCCCTTCCTCCTAAATCTGATAGTTCTTTGTTCCATACCAGTGAACTACAAAGTAGGGTATGTATGTTCTTTCAATTTATGTGAGCTAGGGATTGTTTTAATGAGAACTAAAGTTTACCTCCTCTTATCCTATGGACAGAAGGTAGAGAAAGTAGCAGTCATAATTTATGGACCTCTTGCCACCTCTAGTACTGTTGTAAGATTAGAACGATACAGATGTAGAACTAGGAGATTCTACAAAAGACAAGATAAATGGAGAGAAAATCCAAGCAATGCTCTGAAATGACATGGCTTGGCCCCAAAAGAAACAGACATCCCCCACCACGTGTGAAAACTTGTAGAGGTGGGGGACTATGGCTGTGCAACACTGCATCTGCCACCTTAATGTTTATAGCGGTTCCAGCTGAATTTAAAGGGACATGAGACAAGTTTTTAAGTCCTTTTTCAGTCATGTCTGACTGAGCTTATTTGGGGTTTTCTAAGCAGAGATACAGCTACTTCCTTCTCCAGTGGATTAAGCAAACTGAGGTTAAGTGGCTTGCCCAGGGACACATAGTTTATAGTTTACTAGCTACCAGATTTAAACTCACAAAGTTGAGTTCTTGACTTCAGGCCTAGCATTTTCGACTGCTCCATCTAGCTGGCCAAGACAAGTTTGTTTTTTTTTAAAAGTCAATTGGGGTTAAGTGACTTGCCCAGGGTCAGACAGCTATTAAGTGTCAAGTGTTCGGTCTGAGGCCGGATTTGAACTCAGGTCCTCCTGACTTCACGGCCGGTTAAGTCGCTGCGCCACCTAGCTGACCCTAAAAGGACACTAGCCAAAGGAGAGAAAGTAGGATAATAGCTTTAGGGAACGGGAGAGTTTACCTATACGTGGTTTCAGGTAGCAGGGAACTGTCAACAGATAGAAACTGGAAATCATAGAAGGAATACAACTAGAGAGATTGGCCTTCAAGTTGCCTCTACCTCAAATATCAGAACAAAAGAAGATAACAGGATGAGACAGATGTAGAATACACTGAGAGGAAAATGGACAGATTGGGAAAAAATGTGAAGCGAGGTCCTCTGTAGAAAGAATGTAAGTGGTGTGAGAGGCTTAAGGAAAATATGGTGCAAAACAGGTACTGTAGGGATGGTAGAGGATGAATTTCTTTGTGAGGGTTCAGTTGAGATTGGGATAACTTTCCCCTAGCTTGGTCAGTCATAGCAGCACAACATACAAATTAGATTTCCATGGTTTCATTGCCAGATTAGCCAAAGGTTAATGGAATTTTTTGGCCACAGCAACTCTTCTAAGATCTGCCAGGTTTCAGAGGGATTTTAATTTTCGTCCATAGGAGGAGTAACCACATCAAAGAAAGCACAATCCTTTAAGAATCAAAGTAGTACTGGCAACAAGGCATTTCTGATCTTTTACACTCGTTCTCATACCACAAGGATTACAATGATTTGTATAATTGGTATTTGGTAGCTCTATTCCTTGGTATGTGTCTGGTACATTAAAATCTCATTCCTTAATCTCATTTTTGTTGTGAAAGTCTAAATTTTTAAGTGCCACTATAAGATCCTAATAAAATCATAGGGTATTAAAAATATTTATTATAGAAACTTTTACAAATTTTAGCCTTTATTAGAGGCAAGCAGATGATCTTCACCTCCTAGAATGGGATCAGGTACTATACAGGAATTAGCCATTATTTTTCTTTTGAAACAAAACTCCCTTCAAAAAAAGAAAATCATTAGCCTCTGACCCTCATGCGATGATGATTACTTATTCTTAATAAACATTAATGACATTCATTCTATGTTCAAATCATTAAAAGAAAAAAAAAGGAGTAATGAGGAAAAAGATCTATACATTCAGAAAACAGAAAAACACAAACGCACACATACGTACACACACACACACACACACACACACAAATCTTTTACTAGACTGGGTGTCCAGTTAAATATATTTCATTATAATCCTATAATGGAGGATTCCTATGAAAACAAATCTCTGGCAATCTCACATATAATTGAACAAAGTTGTAGAAATTCTGCCAGCTAAGTAGAATAACAGATCAGGTCATCCACTTTTATTACATTCTTGTCAACAGCATTTCAGTTTCTGCCATCGTAGAGTTTTAAAAGGATAAAAGGAAAAAAACTCCTTTAAAAATATTCCATTGAATATTGAACTTTAGCTGACTTCTAAATCAGTGTTCTCCAGTTTGAACATATTCTTCTGTGGCCTGGGACATGGTGCTGAGATATTGCCAGCTTAGTGCAACCAAAAGCATGGCACACGACAGGTAAATAGGGGAGTAGTGGTTCCGAGAGATTAGTTGACAACTGGGAAGATTCTGTTTCCGAACAGAGGAGATAATCTGCTTTGTCTCGCTGGAAGATGGGTCTGAGCTTGGAATTCTTTGATAAATCTGTCAGAGGAAGAAGGGGGGAAAAAATCAAAAAATATGAAGCTGTTTTAAAAGAACAAATTGTCTAGATGACTCCCCCTCACCCTAATCCCCCCAGATTAGATGTATTCCTTTTATGTTACTTTGGAAACATAATTCAAAATATGATCAAGTCTACCCTGTACAGATACCTAATATCACACAGAAAGGATTCATAGCTATAAGCAACAGAGCATTTGTGACCCTGAGCAAATCTGTAGGATCTAGTCACAACCCTTTGTAACAACCTTTATAAAGACCCAGTATGTGCCAAGCACTGTGCTTGGCAAATACAAATATTGGAAAAACAAACATTTCATTTGGTCCTCACAACAAAGCTGGGAAGTAGATGCTATTATTATTCCTATTTTCCAGTTGAGAAAATTGAGACAGAGGTTAAGTAACTTGCCAAGGTTACACAACTAGAATGTGTCTGCGGCTGGATTTAAACATAGGTCTTTCTGACTCCAGGCTCAATACTATACCACCCAGCTGCCTTTTTAAAGCAGTAAAAGCTTCCATTTCCTTATAAGAAAAATGGGAATAACATTTACCCGTTTTTCCCTAGCTACCTCACAGGACTGTTGTGAGGTTCAAATGAGAACTTGGATTTTGTAGGCTCAACTCCTGCCCTCAAATTAAGAGACTTCAATATAAATACTGATTCTCTATCAAACACCCTAGCCACTCAGTTTCTCAACCTATTCACTCCCCATGAGCTATTCCTCTCCCCCACCACTCTGTCCTCCTTTCTTCAATCTGTAGCCTGTTTTTATCATATCACTTCAACTTACAACACACATGCTGCTGAATGAAAATGGAGAAAACCACGTAGCCATTCTGACTGGGTCCACCACAAATTTGTTACACAACTTCAACTGGACCTTCACTGCTGCTAGGCAATTCTACTACTATACCTCCCTTATCAACACAGCATCCCATTGTCAACAGAGGCTCTTTAAAACTTTTCATCCTTCCTCAAATCTCCTATGGTTTCCTTTCTCCCCACTCTTTTGGCTGAGAACCTTGCCTAATATTTTATAGAAAAAATTGAGATCATTCTCTGTAAACTCCCTCTTCTCTCTTCTTTCTCATCTCTTATCACTCATGTGTCTTCTGCCAAAATGGCCTTAACTCTTTATCAAGGCTAACCCCTCTACTTGCTCAAATGATCCCATTCCAGGGGCAGCTAAATAGTACAGTGCATAAAGCTCCAGCCTTGGAGTCACGAGGACCTGAGTTCAAATCCAGCCTCAGACACTTGACACTTACTAGCTGTGTGACCCTAGGCAAGTCACTTAACCCCAACTGCCTCATAAAAAAAAAAATCAAATGATCCTATCCATCCAGTCTACTTCAACAGATTGGCAGCCCCCCCCCCCACTTATTTTCTGTCTCTCTCCACCTACTGGCTCACTTCACATTGCCTATGAACAAGCTTTTGTCTCTCTAATCCAGGAAAAAAAAAATCTTGATCCTTCCACCCCCACTATCATCCTATACCTCTTCTGCCCTTTGTAGCTAAATGCCTCAAAAAGGCCATCTATAATAGGTGCCTCCACTGTCTCTCCTTTTGCTCTTCTCACAATCCAGCTTCTGACCATATCAATGCACCATTACTGTTCTTTCCAGAGCTACTAATGATGTCTTAGTTACCAAATCCAATCGGTTTCTCCTCTAGTCTCATTTTCCTTGACCTCTCTGCAGCTTTTGACACCACTGATCATTCTGTCCTTGATATTTTCTCTCTAGGTTTTTGGGACACCATTCTTCTTATTTTCCTTCTACCCATCTGACCATTTCTTCTGTCTCATTTGCTGAATTCTCCATATCACACCCTCTAACCAATGATGTCCCTCAGGGTTCTGTCCTGGGCCCTCTTCTCCTTAAAACTAATTCACTTGGTGATCTCAGCAGCTACCATAGATTTAATTATTTATTACTATGCTGGCGATTTTCAAATCCACTTATCCTGCCCCAAACTCTGCTGACCTCCAGTCTCAAGTTTCCAATTGCCTTGCAGACATCTTAAACTTTATCATGTCCAAAACAGAATTTGTTATCTTTCCCCCTAAACTTCCCACCCTGTCCCCTCTAACCACCCTCCTACCTTCTTATTTCTGTAGAGGGCAAACAACATCTTCCTCCTAGTTCCTCAAGGCTTGCAACCTAGGACTCTTCACTATCTCTCACTTCCCATATGCAATGTGTTGCCAAGGCCTGAGGATTTCACCTTTGCAACATCTCTCCAATATACACCACTCCCCACTCAGTTGCCAAAGTGATACTCTGAAAGCACAGTTCTGACCATATCATAGTTATTCCTTTGTACCAATTCCTCCCCTGAAAGTCCAGTGTCATATGGACTCTAGTTTTAAATATAAAATTCTCTGGTTGGTGTTTCAAACTCTTCACTCACTGTCCTATCTTTTTGCTTTTCTTACACAATACTCAACTCCACAAACTTTACAGTTGAGTCATACTGGCCTATTTGGCATAACCCTCAGTCTCCTGACTCTGCATTTGCATTGTCTGTTCTCCATGCCTAGAATGTTCTCCCTATTCACCTTAAATTCCTAGCTTCCCAGGGTCAGCAGTTTCTTTCAGGTAAGATCACCTTCCAATTACACCCTCATTTACATTATACATATCCCTTTTTAAGGATCATTAATTTGCATTTCTCTGACTAATTAGAATGGGAGCTCCTTGAAAGTAGTGTGTGCTTTTGCTTTTGCATGCTTAGCACTTAGCACAATGCTTGGCAAATAGTAAACACTTGAGTAATGCTTGTTGACAGACTCCTATAGATCTTTATACAGATCTTCAACAGATGTTTCCAGTTGTGTGGGTACTCCCTCTACAAATGCAGATTGTAATCCCTCCACAACTTAATAGTTTTATCAGTTGGTATGGCCAAAAAGATTCGTTACTCCACAGCCAACCTTCTGGTGATGAACAAGACTGGGTATCACTAGGCTGATCCCTGGACACAGCCCATCACTGGGCCTGTACTAAAAACCTTTCCAGCTTGGTAGGCTCTGCCATAGCATAAACTTTGAGAAGCAAAGGTCAGTGCCAAGCCAAAATATGGCATCAGAAGAAAAATTTTGACAGTATTTCCTCTAAAATCACACAAAAAGCCTTATGTTTCCAAGGAATTGAGGTCGGCAGAAAACAAGAAAATAGGGTTTCTGGCCTTGTGTCTGAAAGTTTGTGTCCTCAGCTGGTTACTTCTAATCAGCTCAGAGGAATCCAGATTATTTTTAGGCCCATGCAATTCTGGAGTGTGGCTGGGTATTCAAGAAGCTAAGCCAAGTCCAACTTGTTACAGGCACACATTCAGATGTTTGGCTTCTTAGTTCTTGCTTTGAATAAAATAACTCAAGAATGAGATCAGTCCTATAGACAGATTGATCTGCCACTGTGCTCTCAGCTAGCGAAGAGTACACTTACTACAGTACTGATCATTCCAATTAAATGCAGAAGACCTCTAACAAATTAAAACTAGAGATAATAAAATTAGGTAATAAGACATAAATATTTCTGGATCTGTCATCACCTAGAATGATCCTTTTCCAAGGGAAAACTGAGTGAAATAACAAACTGTTTATGTTTGGGATATATAACTGGACCCTTTCTCAGCCTACCAGGTTCTCTACATAGGAGGCAATCTGGGTTAAGTGAATTGCCAGAATCACACATTTAGTAAGTATGAGGTCAAATCTGAACTCATGTCCCTCCTGACTCCAGCATTGGTGCTCTATCCACTGTGCCACCTGGCTGTCCCAACAACCACTATATTTCTAATTATCTAAAGAAGAAAATGTTTCTCCTGTGGTATCTAAAAGTGAATTGGGCAGTAAAAAAAAAGAATCCAGATCAACAATGACTGAATTATGGAGTTAGACCTGGCCCAAAGTGAGACATCTGCTAAGATTCAATTTAGAAGGTTTTACTTGAAAATAACCCTAATGAGGACAGTGAAATAACAGTTAAGTCTAGGTACCAACCACACAGTGTCAGGATAACTCAATCACAGAACCTTAGGGTCAGTCATCTGAGCTAATCTAAACTACAAACCGGAACCCAGAATGAACTACACAAATTTGCTGAACTCAAATCAAGGTATTCTTTTGTCCTCCTAATTGCAAACCAAAACAAAAATTGTCCTTAAAAAAAAAAAGTAAACTGGATTGATCTGTAGGAAAAAGAATATTTTTCTAAAATTCGAACCAAAACAAAATCAGAACACCAAAACAGTCTCTGAAGCAAGTTGATATTTCTTTCTTTCAGCTCAAATCTCTTCATTTAATAAACAGAGGATAATCTGAATCCACAAATAGTTATCTGTTCAGTAGTATATAAAAATTTTTATTCTAAAGCATACTTGTAAATGGCTAAATTTACTATTAAGCAATTTGGAAGGTCTGAGGCCCACCAATGAAAATTGGTATGTGTGCTGTGTTTACTATGAATTAGTATATCCAACAGATTGGTTGTTAGGCACTGCTTTCTAGATAATGGTTGATCTTTTTCACTCATTTCAGTAGAAAGAATTACACAAGTTAACGTAGCCAAACAGATTGTTTTGTATTTGGTATCCTTCCCCTCTACAATTGCCCTCTGCTAGAGGCATTGATGATAATGTCTAAAAACCATTTAACCAAAGGAAAAGTACAAAAGAGGAATGGAAATTTTGGTACAGAGGTCACTGAAAATCCCATTATGATGGGCTGCATACTGTTTCTAAAGTATTGTATTGAAACTTCATTAAAATGAATATATCATTAGAAATCACATGCTTACTCTGCAAATTAAATGTGGCTAATCAGACTCCTTCCTAAAGTAATTACTTAAAATATACTCATATACCACACTCTTCTCCTTACCACTCACTCTTTCTTTGGGCCTAGAACTTTTGACAGGTGGAAGAAATTTCCCTTGTGGGAAGGAGTGAAGGAAAAGACAGAACTTTGTGATTGTTTTGAGAATGTTGGAGTATTTTAAGGGTCACAAATTACTTTCCCTATAAATCCCTGTGAAGTAGTATTAATGTAAGAATTACTATCTTCATTCCTACAAGGAGGAAATGAAGGTTCATAGTGATTAAATGATTTGCCCAAAGTCATACAGCTAGTAAAAGTCAGAGCCTAAATGCAAAAACTTCAGGCTTCAAGACTAGTAATACTCTAATGTTTTTCAGCTTACTTCAGAATGCTGAGTAAGTTAACAGGTGGCAGGGGCAACTGAGTGGTACAGTAAATAGAATGCTAGGCGTGGAGACAGAAAGACTTGAGTTCAAATCTGGTCTCAGACATTTACTAGCTGTGTGACCCTGGGCAAGTCACTTACCCTGTTTGCCTTGGTTTACTCACCTGTAAAATGCGGATAATAACAGCACCTATCTTACAACAGGGTTGTTATGAAAGTGCTTAGCATAATGCCTCACAAGTAGTAGCTGCTCTAAGTAATAGAAAGTATTACCCTCCATCCCAATTGTAGAGATAAAGAAATTAGGACTTAGAAAGATAACTTGTCCAAGGTCTTACAACTGAGTCAAGGACGACCGTATCTTCCCACAATGGATAAATATGAAATAAAACCATCGTGATGCCATTACCTCTCTGTTTAAGTACCTAAGCAGATTTCTAGGAGTAACATGTTATAGATCCACGTTCCCAAATCCTACATTATTACTTCTCTCTAGCTTGCTATGACATCACTCTCTGGGTCTCATTTTTCTCACTACTAAAATGAACAATTATGTGCTCCCTCAAAGTTGCCATTACATTTATAAATAAAGCACAAAATGTTAGATAATCATTATTATTTCACAGCTGTGACTTCAGGCGAATTCATTTTACCCCTCTGCATCTCAGTTTCTTCAAATGTAAAAATGGAGATTAAAGCCTCCTTCATGGCTACCAAAATCAAATGAGATAAATACAGGAAAATGCTTTAACTGGGAGTTTGGGGAAGTTGGAGAGGGAAAGGGAAGAGTAAGAAGGAGTAATGATAGTGATGGGGAAAAAAAAAAGGAAGAGATTAAAGAAAAATTTCAATGAAACTGTAGTTTAAAATAGATAAAAATGACCAGAGGAGATTCCAGACAAGTAGGGCAATGTTGGTACTACCATGCTAAATATAAAATATCTTGAAAGAAAAGTTGTATGTAGTAGAGTTTCACATATAATCCCAACTTTCTGGCTTCCTTTTTGTCTAGAAACATTCACATTCCTGGATGATCTTCAGTTCATAATTTTTTTTTAAAGAACAGGGATAGGGACTGGACCTGTTACTTTACTATTATAGAAAACTTCCTCTACCAATGCACAACTTAGCACCTTATCAGCCACCTGAGAGTCTTAAAGAATTTCCTGGATTAGTAAAAGTTTAAGTACCTTTCCCAGAGTCACACAGCCAGGATATATGAAAAGTGAGACCTGAAACTCAGTTTTCCTGGCTCCACCGCTGGCTTTCTATACACCACACTTCAGTACCTCTCAATAAATTTCTTTCGAATGTAGAAAAAATTTTCTTAAATGTTTTAAAAAGGAAACTGCTAGGGAAATATAAATATTATTGTTAGCAATGAGAAAAGCTATGAAAAGGCCTGAAATAAGCCATGAATATACAGGATAAATCAAGCAAAGATTAAATTTAAACCTATCAAGCGGCAGATTATAACTTCTTTTTATTCTTGTATATGTCTTTACATATAAATGTGATCTGTTGCTCTAAAATTTCTCAAATTTTTTCCCCAAATAAACATCATCATTCTATCTCTAATTACACACACACACAACAAAATTTACCTCTTCCATATACTGGTACATAATAGCTTTGACAGCTGGCATGTTGGTCGCTTCCATCATCAATGTTACTGCTTGCCCCTTCCGAATCTTAACCCTCCCCTTGAACACCTGCTGGTTGTTATAACAGGCAGCCAGAGTAGCAATAGCCATCACCTACAGATAAACCAAAAACAACCCTCAGAAGTTTCTTAATTAATCCTGTAACTCAAAATAAGAAAGAAACAAGGAAAGTCAATGTAGTCATTTCTACTGAAAGAGCGAGATCACACTCTGAAATAAGATGAATGTCAAGAAAAAAGTAATCAAGAAACAAAATCAATATTCACCATCATTTATTCCTTTTCTTTCTCTACTCAACCCTGCCTAGAAAGGACATGGAATCATGCTCCTTATTCTAAAACCAAACATATAGCATGGAGATATGCAAACATGTGTTCTGTGTGCATATATGTGCACATGTGTTTGTGTGTATCCAAAGTAAATGGAAAATGGGGACAGGCATGCAATTTGTATTGCCCCTACTCTTGTCATCTGAAGCCACCAAAGGCAAATGCTGAAGTGACCAAACAGGCAACTTTCTTACTCTTACCACCTTAGTTAACTCCCCCACTCACGCTCAACAGCAAAGTATTTAATTTTTAAAAATACAGTATGTATCAAAAATCAGCCTTAACAGTCCATTACACAAATAAGTACATTCTCCTACCTGATTATCTACTTAAAACAAAAAAGTTTCAACCCCATTTTCAATTCCTAGAAAGCAAAGTTAAGAAGCATTATATAGGGACAGGTTTCTTTGTTTTGAGGACATGAACAGTGAAGTACTTTAATACAGTAACTATGTTCTGATTATTTTAACCCCAAAATTATTTAATATTAGCTTTATTTCTGATTAAAAAAGGTAAAAATGGATCATTTCGAAGTTGATAATCTAAAGAGCCATAAAGAAGATCCTATAGAACTAGATCTTGCACTTTAACCTGGTCTTTATGAAAAGAAGAAGAGAAGAAAAGGGCAGATGTATAGGAATCTTCCTCATAAGCAAAACCAAGTTACTGTCTTTTTTTTAAAGGAATCATAACCATAAACCCAGACCAGAGGAGAAACAACTAAAAGACCCAGGCAAAAGACTATCTTCAACCCCTATCTAAATATAGCCCCACGCATACCTGTGGAATAGCACAAAAGTTGAACACACTTTGATTTCTCAGTCGGGAAAGATAGGTGAGGACATCGGGGATGTGCTGTAAAGCATTAGTAACCAGTTCATTTAGACAATGGACAGCCAAGTCAATATTCTCTGGTTTAGCTAAATCAGACAACTTCTTGGCATACCTACTCCAAACCTAGAGACAAATGATGCAAAAACTATCATTACACAAGTGAAAATTAAGAAAGAGTAGAAGAATCTATGCAACAATACTGAATATTTACTAAAACTTAAGTCTGTCCATTTGACAGAATTATACTACCTAAAGGCCAGACAAAGGTGATGTCTCAATGGATTACATTCTGGAGTAAACTATGCCCTGACAAGTATGGTAGGCACCTACGTACTACTCCTGGACATTACAACATTAACAAGTTACTGTTTTGGCATACTGTACACTACAAGTAGAAATGCAGTTTCTAAAAGTAACTGTGAAAAGTTCAATCACCAACATGTCAATTCAGATTTCCTCAAGGAAATATAGCAAACAGATGTGGGCATTATAAGCTGGACCTTTCCTATAGAAAATATTTTCCTGTGACAAAATGAAATTCTTAACCTCTACATAAAATATAACTAAAATAATAGGATTTGACTCTTTCCTACTCTATTATTTTAAGTTTTCCCAGAAACACAGGAATTTCATTTTTGTGCTATAATTCAGTAATCCTCCAGTAAACCTGCATCTGTGTATTTGTCATGGTGTTTTTGAACCTAAATTAAGGCATTTACAATTCATCCTTATTCAGTTTTACCACATGAATTCAAATTTATCCAATCCTGTTATGCCTAAATATACCTAAAAGGATACTCTGAGTTCTATAAGAAGTTCATTTACCAAGTATGTAGCTTGGTTTAAAAATAAATCAAATGCTGAAAGAGGTCTTGGGAAATACATTAAGTTCATGGCCCTAACTCACACAGTACCTATCTTGGGTAGACTAATGTTTATCCTTTTCTCCTCAAGATCTCTAGAAAAGGAGATGCTCTAGATTTCAATGTCTTAGGAGGTCTTCTCAGAGTTAGCCAAAATTTAGTAACTTAAAATGCAGATTTTTTTTTGAAAGCAGTTCTATACTCAAAACCAAGTGCACAGAAATACAGATGCACAGAAATACAGATACAAAGAAACTGGATCCAAAAACACATTCATTTAGAAAAATGGCAACTACAAATTTACTTATTTTTTTAATTTTTAGGCAATTGGGGTTAAGTGACTTGCCCAGGGTCACACAGCTAGTGTCAAGTGTTTGGTCTGAGGTCTGATATAACTCAAGTCTTCCTGACTTCAGGGCCAGTGTTCTATTCACTGCATCACCTAGCTGCCCCAACAAACTTAAATCATATATAACTTTAACTTAGCTCTTGGGGTAAGAGCATAAATATTCTTTTTCAAATATCATTTATTCACTTGTAGAGTTGTGATATGAAGTAAGACTACTTAAGATATTTCAGTTAAAAGGAAATTTTTCTCTCTAACTGCTCCACCACAATTTGACTCCTGAACACGAAAGTGTTCTACAAGATGTAAAACTTAAACATTGAGTTTGATCAGACAAGAGAAAAAAAAAAAGAGGCTTATTGGATTGTAAGTTTAAGAAAATCCCCTGTAATGCCTTCAGTCAGTTTTATAGTATTAAACTACATAAAACCTCCTCGCATTACTGATGAAAAGTTTATATGAATCTTCAATTGAACACATTTTCACAAAAGAATTTTCGAAGCAAAAGAATTAAACTTTTTCGACTACATAGTCTGTATTCCATTAATGCACAAAATTCCATATGATAAAAATTTAACTTAGGGGCAGCTAGGTGGCGCAGTGGACAGAGCACCGGCCCTGAAGTCGGGAGGACCTGAGTTCAAATCCAGCCTCAGATGAAATACTCAACACTTACTAGCCGTATGACCCTGGGCAAGTCATTTAACCCCAACTGCCTTTAAAAAAAAAAAGAAAAGAAAAAAATTTAACCTAGCTTTAAATATAACCTAATTTTTTAAAAAAGCCAACAGGAAGGCAAAAGGTTGAGCAAATAAAAACTAGAAAATAAATTCCTTGAATCTTATTATCTTTTTTCTAATATGTGTGTTTTTTTAAATGAGAACAACAATCCTTTTCTTTTTTTTAACTCTCTAGAATGTTTTCTCTCATAACTCCCGATTTCTGTTACCTCTTGGGGCCAAAACTCTCTCCCCTCCATCAAGTCTTCCAAATAATCTCTAATAATGTTTGTCTTCTGTAGGAACAGACCCATAGAATTGGCAAGCTTCAAGTCCTGTCCAACAATGGAGTCTTCCAACTCTGAAGCCGAGAACAGACGAGAAAGGCCAATCCCTACTAGTCCAGCAACATAGTGACAGTACTGTAAAAAATAATTTTTTAAAGAGCTACAGTAAATTCTTTGTTATTCAGCACTGTCAGTAAATGCAATGTTATGATCAAATATCCTTGTTAGCAGAAACTTATACTGAGTTCATATCTTTAATGAATTCAAATTTAGTCATAATCATCATTGTGAAGAAGATAACAAGGAACTAACAATCAACAGATTTCTATTTTAAATAATGGCTAAGAAAAATTTTATTTGTATAAGCAAAAAGTTGGTTAAAAAAAACCACATCTTTTTTCCCAAACTGTGGGAAAACCACTACTATGATATACTCACTCTCACACTCTCTCTCTCATCCTACCCCAACCCCCATCCCTCCACCCCAAAACTATCAGAAGTGAATAACAGCCAACGTAAAGTAGACTCCAAAACATACCACAGAAAAGGCAGTCAGTAAATCACGCAAAGGGCAAACAAATAAGCATTCTCCCTGGCTAACATTAAATACAAACCTGGAAAACAGCATTAGAAGGCACACTGCAATAACAATACAAGCATGGCATTCAATTGCAAAGGAATTTGGAGTTAAAAGTATAATAAAATTAGGCAGTGCTATGGAAATTAGAAGTAAAGCTACCTAAATCCATATGGAATACAGTAAAAGGAGGATTGGAATATAGTACTAGTATTCATGTGACTCCAGCACTATGCAAAGGAGAAAAAAGTACAGGCAATTTTGCTATAATGCTTATTTTGAAAACATAAATTTGTTCCAACAGAATTGATATATTAAGGGAACATTCTGAGCATAATACATACACAAAATTGCATTCAGCTGAATCGAGCTGTGTACGAACACATAAAACATACACATGCACATGCCTCAAACATCCATCAGCTACCTCACTCCACTATGTGTTATCCTACAAGGTTGTGTTTTGCCAATCTTTCACATCTGTAAACTTTATTATATAAAAAACACTCATTCAATATCTTGTTTATTCAAGTGCTGAGGATGGACTAAAGATGGCTACCTATCAAGAGTCAAATCTTGTAATGTAAAAGCTATGACTGTTTCCCCTAGGTTCATAATTCTCTTAGACTCTATTCTAAAACAACTTATTTTGCCTCTCTCCTTTGGATAGCCATTACTCCCTCCTTGTCTTTCCACACCTACTTCTGGAGCTACTTTCCACCACCCCTTACAAGTTTTAGAAGAAAATAAAAGGGGAAGGAGGTGACAGAAGAGAAGAAAGCTTCATACAATTTCTCATTCCTTTAGTTCTCTGCTGAGAGCCAGGAACACACTTATATGTTCCACAACAGGATTAGCATTTTAATCTATTCTTCAAAAACCAATAGCTTCACACTGATTCCAGCACCTGGAGTTTGAATGAAACTTGTGTGAAGGGTGTGACTGGAAATTAGTTAGAAGAAGAAGCAACACAAATACTTGGTACTAAACTAGTAGAAGAAAAATGTGAAAGCCACTATTATTACCCCTATCACCACAGATTAGGAAACCAAGGCAAAAAACAATTTACCTATCATCACACTGTAACTTATCAGTAGATCTCAGTAATAATTAAGACTTCTAGGGGCAGCTAGGTGGCGCAGTGGATAGAGCACTGGCCCTGGAGTCAGGAGGACCTGAGTTCAAATCCAGCCTCAGACACATAATACTTCCTAGCTGTGTGACTCTGGGCAAGTCACTTAACCCCCATTGCCTCACTAAAAAAAAAAAAAAGACTTCTTGTATAGTCTAATGCTTAGATGCCTGAGCCACGCTAAGCTACATCAAATATGATCAAATAAATACATAATATCCTCAAGGCATGAACAACAACATGCAGAAATCCATTTTTGAGATGTTTTGACTATTATGATTAGTATGTGTAACATATACACATATATTTAAATATATATTTAAAAAGTGTGTGTGTAAAACAGGCACATAACAAATAGACGCTGTCAGTTTTGTTCCTAGTCCTTGGCACTGGGTATAACCACTGTTCTACAAAATGTCCCTTGACACACATAAAATATCACTAACCTTATCCCATTCCTGCACGGAGTTCACTTTCTTTTCCAAAAACTCTGCCATTCCATGCCCCATTTTTTGACAAATGTCATTAATCACCACTTGATAGCTGTCCGCCAGATTTCGAAACTCTAAGGAGACCTGTAACAGAATCCATAAAAAATAGAAACCATGAGAACCAGCATGACACTTACAGGGCAGAATGTGTAGAAATGACTTTTGGAAATAAGAATGATTATTAAAATAAGAGTTCAACTTGGCTCGGCCTAAAGTTTCTACACATTCAAACACTCAACAAAGTGATTTTTCCAATATAAGGTATCGTAAATGACAACTTCAGATACACACACACACACAATTTAAAAGACAATACCTTTGGCTACATGCTATTAATTCCCATATTTAAACACCATTAAGCATGGCATAATATTTCCAATTGGAATTAAAATTTTGGATTCTCTGCTTAACCTCACTTAAAAAAAATCCACTTGACTTTAGAGCACACCAAATATCTTTCTTTCTAGATTGATATATATTCTAATGGATGAATAGTTTAAAGTAATGTTTCTGGTGCTAATCTCAGGTTGGTTTGTTCCTATTTCAGACATTTAAAAACACAGCTGAAATACTTATAAACAATTTGCACAATAGCAACATGAAAAATTTGCATGTTAGAAAATATTAACAGATTATTTATCCAAACTAGAAAATAGTAAATAGACCCTGTTTAAGCAATAACTTGTACATACTCGGGCTGTGCCTATAGGAAAAAGGGAATTTTTTTTGGTTTTATTTTAAACATTTGGACTATTTGTGACAAATAATTTTCTTTCAACTGGAAACCCCAAATAGATCATGAAACCAGCTCAGTTTATTCAGTCTTTCAGGAGACATGTATCTCAAGCCAGTCTCCAGAGTTGACTCTTGCTGCCCATGGGAATAAAATAGGTCTATCAGGTTCACTGATTCTTCCTGCAACTATGCTTCTCCAGTTTTTTCCTAGCCAAGACAGTCTATTTATAATAAGGGAAAAGTCCACAGGAGAAAGGGCAGATTAGGAACAGTTTCCAAAGTAATACTGTTAGGATGGGGTTCACTCATTCCTGAAAGTAATCCTTTCCTTTACATCATTACCTTTTTAGCTCCTTATATATGTCAGTCAATTCAATTAACTTTTAGTAAGCAACTATTATATACAAAATATATCTTGAGAAAAGTGACAACTGGGATTGCATGTTTACTCTAGAAATCCCAATCCAATCAAGCAGTGAACTGATGGATAACATTAAGTATTCCTTAAATACAGCCAAGACCAGCATTAGTCTTCAGTTTCATATATGTAATTGTAGCACAAACAGTAAATATATTAAGGTCAAGAACCCTGTTTCCTACTTCTCTTTAATTACACACAGTACCTAATAAGCTCAATAAATATTTGAATTGAAATAGGGTTTTTCATCCAGGAGGTATATATTTTTCCTAGAATTCTTTTTCCTGATTCCTAGTTAATTTTATTTTTTCATATCTTTATTTCAGCGAGTATTCAAAAGAAGCTGAGAGGTAATGAAAATTAGTTGCTTCCAGACTACAACACAATGTAAAGATCTCAGCTTTATAGCACATTTCCCCTGCTTTCTCTTCCTGAAGGAACAAATACAACAAAGTCAGGGATAAAAATTTACTTACATGGCGATCAATGAAAACACTGGTAAAAGGCTAATTCCTTGTAGGGATCTTATAACTGATAAAAACAAAAGCAATGTTCCTCTGGGCCATAATTATAGAAACAATTTTGTTACATTTTACTTATTTGCAAAGCTGCCCTAGAGAATACTGTGCAATCAGGGTGCTGCAAGCTCCAAACATATTTTATGTCCCACAACTGAAGAGGTTAGTAAATGTCTTTCTAAGAAATTAACTCTAAGATGTTAGTATGATATTGAACTGTTAAAAAGGGAAGGTTGTTTGACAGGCATCCATGGAGAGAGAAATGGGAAGATTGTCAAGTGAGAAGTATTACTAATGTAAAAAAAAAAAAAGAACATCAACAAAACTTTCAAAAAGAAAGAAATTCATGTGAATAAAAATTAACATCAAACTGATCAGCCAGTGTCCTAAGAAACCCACTCTAAGAGTTGGTTTGCAAATTTTGTACTGTTCTATGTGTTATGAAAGCAATAAATCAGTCTTCCAAAGCCAATCAGAGGAACCAGGTTATGTTCTATAATCTCCTCAGAAAGAATACAAATAAGAATATAACTAATACAACACTGCCATATACTTAATTGTTATTATTGCACACTCAGGAAATGCTGTCATAATAAAGAATGGTGGCCTGCATGGAGTCGAGAAAAAAGAAAGATCCTAGAGAAAGAACATCAGTGTTTCTCTAACACTGCTTAGGAGAGAGGATGCTGTTTCCAAGCAACCAGTAAGGGTTCTATAAACAGAATCATCCCTACAGAATGGAAATTCAAACTATCCCAATGACGCAAACTTCCCTTAAGACAGTCTAACTCTGGTTGTTTGAACCGTACGCTTGTCGACTTCGGATTATTTTTTTTTAAGTTGGTCTCCTCAGTGGATTTACTCACCAAAAAGAAGCTCGCAACATGGTTCAGCATTAGTTCTCTTTCTTGGTATGATAACCTCTACAAAATAATAAACTGGAAATCTAGTTTATCAGTCCAGCTTGTGAGTTTGTCTAGTGTTAGTCAATTCTAGAGAGCCTAATCACCAGTAGGTAAACTTATAAAAATGAGTCTCTGAGCCTGCAAAACTCCAAGTCAGAGTGGTCATGAGGTACACGCTCCCCAAAGTACTCATGCTACCCCAGCTGCTCTCTTTCACAAGGTCACTGTGTAGAAGTTATCTACTCCAACTCCCTCATTTTAGATCTCTTCTACCAGAAAGCAGTTTGGAAATAGTTAAACACTATATAAAAGAAATCCATCCCCTACTATATGCTAGGTGCTGGGGACACAAAGACAAAAAGTGTAATAGCTCCAACCTTACAGACATATTGTATAAAATATGTTCTAGCTCAGAGGTTCCCAAAGTGGGTGATAGTGCCCCCATGGGGTGCTGGAATGATCCAGGGGGGTGGTAGTAGTTGGGTGCAATTGCAGGGCCATTGAATAAAAATAAGGGGGTGGTGGAAGCATAAGGAAAGAAGAAATTTTTGAAAAACTGTTAGTACACGTTTCATCTGTTATCTAACAGACTTAAAGTCATATTACATTATTTTCCAAATAAGCACACAAAGTGCAAGTTATAACTGATCAGTGGTCAAGTCCACTGACAGGTCTTAACAAGCAAGTGTTGGCAGGTGAGTGTATAGTGCATTGTTGGGAAGTCCAGCATGGACCGGCAGGAATATATGCATGTAATGAATTGTTTACAATACTATATGGTTACATGACACAATACTCCATCACCAAAATGTCAATGCAAGAAAAAACCCCACAAATTTACAATAAAATATTAAATTTAAGATGCATCATTTTTATTAAGATTTAAAGAATATTTCAAATTAAAAATGCATCATTTTGTATTTGATCCTGGAGGTGACAGGGAGCCAATGAAGTTTAAAGTGTCAGGAGAGGAGTGGGAGGGGACAATCTGACCTGTGCTTTAGGAAAATCACTTTAGTGGCTGAATGGAGGATGGACTGGAGTGGGACAGACTTGAGGCAGGCAGCTTCTCTAAGTATAAGGTAATGAAGGCCTGGACCAGGGAGGTAGCACTATCAGAGAGAAGGGCAAGAGATTTGAGAGATTTGTTATAAGCAAAGGTGAAATCCATAGGTCTTGGCAACAAATCGGATACAGGAGGTAAGAGACAGTAAGGTGTTCAAGGTGATACCTAGGTTGCAAGCCTAAAGAGCCTGGGAGCATCGTGTTCTCCTCTATAGTAAAAAGAAATATAAAAAATAGAAGGGAGGGTTTTCAAGGAGAGGACAATGAGTTCAGTTTTGGACATTTTGAATTTACAATATTTCCTGCACCTCTAGTACAAGATATCATACAAGCAACTGACAATGTGAAATTGAAGGTTAGTAGAAAGGTCAGGGCAGGACTAGGTAGATCAGAGAATCAATAGCATAGAAACAGTAATTAAGTCCAGGGGAGATAATAAGATCACCAAGTGAAAAAGTATAGAAGAGGGCCCAAGGCAGAACCTTGTGGGACACCTATCATTACAGGGCATGACGCAGGTAAGAATTCAGCAAGTAAGACTGAGCAGTGTTCTAATAGGTAGGAGAACCTGGAGAGAGTGATATCTCAAAATAGAGATAAGAGAATATCAAAGAAAAGAGGGTGATCAGCAGTGTCAAAGGCTAAAGAGAGGTCAAGGAAAATGAGAATTATCTGGCAACTAAGAGATAATTTGCAACTTTGGAGACAACAGTTTCAGTGGAATGATGAGATTGGAAGCCAAATTGTAAGAGGTTTCAAAGAGAGTGAGAAGAAAGTGAAGGCCTTTTATAATAAGCTATCAGGAAAAGATTAATATAAAAGTGACAAGACGAGACCTACAGAAGGGGAGGTGAGTAAGAAGGGAAATACTTTCCAGAAATAGGGATAGCCAGTTCGAAGATATGGAGAACAGTGTACCAAGGAGCACCATGTATGAGTAAGAGTAAGAAAGCCCGTTTTCTAAAGCAAAAGAGCATATGCATAATAAGACTAAGAAATGGTATATGTTTGATCATGGCCATAATAAGAAGTCACTGGATTTTACTGAGTTAAGGGGGTGATATGGTTGGACCTCTGTGTTAGATTTTCCTAACACTTTGACAGATGTACTGGGTATATAGGAGAAGGGGAAAAGAAAATGAGGGAATAAGTATTTACAAATCATCTACTATGTCCCAATCACTGTACTAAATGCTTTTTACAATTATTATCTCATGTGATTCTCACAATAATCCTGCAAAGCAGATGTTATTGTCCCCATTTTACAGATGAGGAAACTGAGGCAAATAGAAGTGACTTGCCCAGGGTCAAACAGTTAAAAAATATCTGAAGCCAAATTTGAACTTAGGTCTTCCTGACTCCAGACCCAATTGCTCTATCCGTTGTGCCACCAGTCACTCTGAGACCAGTTAAATGTGAACTATTATTTCATCAAGAACAGGAAATAACTATTCTTTAACATATTACAACCACCATTTTTCATATCTCACAGTTCTATGATCACAAGCAGGCATTAAATAAAAAACGAACAGGCAATGACACTGGAAGATGACTTGGGGGCTATACCCCAAGGAGATCAAAGAAAAAGAACCTACTTTTACAAAAATATTTATAGCACGTCTTTTTGTGGTGTCAAAGAACTGGAAACTGAAGGGGTACCCACCAATTGGGGAATGGTTGAACAAGTTACAGTGTATAAATATGATGGTGTAATATTGTGCTTAAAAAATGATGAAGGGGATAGTTTCAGAAAATCTGGGAAGACTTTTATGAATTGATGCAAAATAAAGTGAGCAGAACCAGAAGAACAATCTATACAGTAACAGCAATACTGTAAGAATTATCAACTATGAAAGATTTAATAACTTGGATCAAAACAATGATCCACCATGATTCCAAAGGACTCATGATGTAAAATGCTATTCGCATCCAAAAGAGAAGGTAGACTCAAAAATGCAGACTGAAGCACATTTTTCCCCTTCTTTATTTTTCTTACTTCCTTCCACTCCCCCAAACAGGGCTAATGTGGATATATGCTTCAAATGACTTCATGTGTAAAAACGGGTATCATACTTCTTGCCTTCTTGATGGGTAAGGGAAGGAGTGGATGGAAGAAAAAAATTTAGACTTAAGAGAAGAATTTTCTTCTTTAAAAAGAAGAAACGCATGGCAAAGAAAACAAAATCAATATGTATGAATTGTGGAATGGCTAAACAAATTATGGGTCATCTATGCAATGGTATATTACCACACCACAAGAAACAATGACTATGAAGAATTCAAACAAACATAGGAAAATTTACACGAACTGCTGCAAAGTGAAATAAATAGAACCAGGAAAACATAGTATGACTATAATATAAATTGAAAAAAAAATCCTGACTGCTATGTAGTTATAATGAAAAAAAAAATCATGCAGCACTTTTAATGATTCCAAGCTGCTCTTGACAAAAAACTGCATTTTAAAATCAAATTTCCTATTGGTGGCTGCAAGTTATAAAATAAAACAATTTAGAGAGAATAAAAATTATGGATAATCTAAAGGACAATGGAAAGATGTAGATGCTGATTAAAGTAGCATATCTTATTACAGTGGTGCCTAGCATACAAGAATAAAAATATCTCTGATCAGAGGATGTGGGCTGGCCATGTAGCTATAGTAAGCTATAACAGAAGAACTTGAATGGTAAACTGCTACTCAGGCAATGTTTAAAGACCTGAAAGGTCTAACATGCTGAAATGAAAGATGAAAAATATTAAAGCATAAGAAGGTATGAATGGGTGGCCATCTATTCCACTGGAGGAAATGTCCACAACTGAAGTACTTAAGTATAAAAAATAATCAATTTTCTAAATGTTCAAAGTTCAACTAATTCAATGTTAGCTATACATATAATGAACATACTAATGTGGTAGAAGTTCCGTACTCCTTGGGTTTAAGAGGGATGGTCAAGTCTTTTAGTTAACCCAAACCTAAGATATTATGGGTACATAAAAGGATGTATAAAGAGATTAACAAAAGAAAATCTAGTACTGCCCTAGTAAAAGAAACACGTAACTTCTTTAATATTTTATAACCCTGTTCCTTTTCTTCAAAAATTTCTCCTGACACAAGACATTCAAATTTACTTCCAGTTGTCATTTCACCCCAAATTCCTTTTCATGTTACCAGACTCCTATGGCAATCTAGTGAAGTACTATGGACCTATTTGTCAGAGTATTTTTAAATGCAGAAAATAAAATACGTAAGATTATAAAGGAAACCACTCATACTGAAATACAGTTAGCAAAATATTTAAAAACCAAAAAAGGTTAAGAACCCTTGTCCTACAGCTTGAATAAAAACCCAAAGGATTTGAAATTCCACAATACAGAAAATGACTTGCGATCACAAAAACAGTGACTCAAGAAAGAACCAGGAAAAGAATTCCTTAAAGTAACACAATTTAACCACCTCCACATTTTAAAAGTACATTATCATTGGAAAATATCTCATTTTAAAGAATAGATATAATCCTAGCCTTTGGTCAACATACAGGAAGTTTGAAACTTGAAATAAGAAAAAAACTGTATATATAAAGTATCTGATGATATCCCCATTTCCTGCTGCCTTCTTAGAAAATGTTGTTATTCTGTCACTGGATTTCCCTCCTACTGGAGTTTTTCCATTCTTATCCCAAAAGCACTTACCTAAAGCTGTCATGCTTACTAGGCTCAAATAAAGTGAAGTTCAGAAGGTACTTGACACCCAGGAAGGTACTCAGGACCATTAGTACAAACATTCAACTATGTAATTAAACAGGCTCTTGTGGCCTGAGAATTTATTTAATATTAATTTTATTGTTTTTAATGGGAAAAGGACATTTTGGTAAATTGGGACCTGCCCTACTACGATGATAAAAATCAATTCTGAACCCTGTATAATTTCTTACAGAGTTGGTTCATGCCTTTGGCAATTAGCTAGCAACAATGAATCATCTATCAATAAACTAAAAGGATTATTTTTAGCTCTAATACCGTTGAAAAGTCCTCTAAGACTTGCCGATCCTTTTGATTGCTTTCCATATACCTCCAATCTGGCTGGTACAGGTAAGAATGAAAATTTTGCAACAATGGGACCTTTTTTTCCATACTGATTGTCATGTCATCTTCCACAGTGTCCAGAGCTCGAAGAACCAGGTAAAATATGCACACAGCATTGCTGGGGGGGAAAAAAGAGAGATAAAAATATTTATGTCTCAAGGTATTGACTGAATAAATTTATCTACTAGGCATTCCACAAGCTACAAAATATTGCAATGACATGTCATATATAATATTAACACTATCATTTAAAACAGTAATTTATTCAAACCTCACATAATATTTAAAAATAATTCTTTGTTTTAAGAGATAGGAAAAGGGATACGATGGGGAAGTATGGGCAATATAAAAATAAAAAATAGCAATAAAAATCTGAGAGAGGGGAGTTGGGAGTGCAGACAGAAAGCAAATGAAACAACTCAGATTTTGCCTTATACCCAAATAGGCAAAAATAAAGAAAGACAAACTGTTAGTGTTGGGGCAGCTAGGTGGTACAGGGGATAAAGCTCCAGCCTTGGAGTCAGGATAACCTGAGTTCAAATCCGACCTCAGACACTTGACACTTACTAGCTGTGTGACCCTGGGCAAGTCACTTGACCCCAAATTGCCTCACCAAAAAAACAAAACAAAAAACAAAAGCCTGTTAGTGTTAGAGAGGTAGAGGAAATACACACATACTCATATTTTTGTTGGTAAAGCTACAAACTGTTCTAATTCTTCTGGAAAACATTGTGAAATTATGCTAACAAAGTTAATAACTGTATTTAAGAATAGCTAATAGCTAATACTTATATAGCACTTACTATGTACCAGGCACTGTGCTATATGCTTTAGAAATATTATCTCATTTGACTCTCACAACCATTCAGGGAGGTAAGTGCTATTATTATCCCTATTTGATAACTGAGGAAACTAAGGCAAATATAGGTTAAGTGACTTGCCAGGTTACATAGCTAGTAAGTACCTGAGGCTGGATTTGAAGTCTTCTTGACTCCAGGTCTAGCATACTGTCCACTCCAACACTTAGTTGCTACTGATTCTGCTGCTGACCATATGCCCCACAGCAATTAAAGAAAGAAAAAAATGTCTCATACATACCAAATATTCATTCAGCACTTTTTGTGGTATACTATGTCCTACACCTATACATGGTATAGCAGAAAGAGTACTAGACTGCAGTGCTCAGAAGGCACAGATTTGAGTTCTGACACCACTACTGATTACTTATAAAATCTTGAGCAACTTGCTTAATCTCTTTCTAAGATTTAGTTTATAAAGTGGGGAAAATAATACTTACTTAACATCCTTCCCATAGTGGCTATGAGGCTCAGATGAGACAACGTATATTAAGTAAAAACACTATGTAAATTCAACTCAATGAACATTTTTAAGGGCCTGGGGGTAGGGATAGAACTTTGACCCCATGGGGGAAAATATCTAGTGTTCAAAACTACCAATAACATGAAGAAGAGGCCTTTTTTTTCTTCTGAGAATGAAGGTTTCCACATAGCGCAGTTTAAGCACATTCTCCCCATATGCAGCATGCTGGCTATCTTTTGGCATGGCTGTGACACTTGGTTTGGAAAGCACATAGGCAGGTATCCTCATACAGGCCAACCAGAGAGGCTTCACTTGCCTCCTGCAAAGTACCAACTGCTGCATTCTGGAAGCGCAGATTTGTTTCCAAGTCCTAAGCAATTCCATGCATCAAACACTAATGAGAAGTTTATTAATCTTAAGTGGGTTTCTGATAATGCCTGATTTCACAGAAAGTCACAGTACCCAGCACGTAGCGATAAGGTTTCTTTACTCCTTCACTAGAGGGAGCACTCTTGTGAGAGACTGCTTTATCACCAGGGGATTTACCAGCAATTTCCTTGGAATAAGTCATGTTCCTGAAACTTCTTATACATCTCTCCCCTTATACCTTTTCTCTTGTGTTTTCAATGAAATGGAAGAATTCCCAAGACAAAAGAAGGGAGAACACTTCAAGAATAAGAACTAGGGCAAACAAAGGTTATCAAGGTAGGGAAATTACTGGGTGTCTAGAGAAGGGTAGGAATCATCCATTTTGACTGAAGCACAGAAAAGATTAGAGCAGAGTACTATGAAATTAAGGCTGATTACGAAGAATGTGGAAAAGCATGGCAGAACTTGTAATAACTAACACAAAGCAAAATAAACAAAACCATGAAAACAATTTAGAAGTGACTAAACAATGTAAATGGAAATAACAACAACCAAAAATTCTCAATGGTTTTATTTTATAATCACAAAGCATATTCAGAAAAAGAGATAGGAAAGTGGACATGTACCCTTTTTGCAGAGGTGAACATCAGAGCGAGTGGGGGCAGAAACCTCAAATATACTTAAAGATTAAATTGATGCTCTAGTTTTAGTGAACTGCTACTCCCCCCCTTTCTTTTTAACTCTTTGTTCCTCTCTGGGGAGGAGATGGGATATTATGGTAATGAGGGTGATGTTAAAAAAATATATATCAATTAAAATTTTAAAAGAGAGGAGCAAGGGAAAAGGAAAATAAGTAAACAAAAAAGAAATGTCTGTAAAAGTAGAAGGTCAGATTCGAAGGGCTTATGAATGCCTGACAAAGGAGTAAACATTTTACTAAGTAGCTGATAGAGAGGCTTTGAGCAAATAACAAAACTAAATCTATGCAAAAGCAAAGTAGTCTGGTAAATGTGTAAGGGAATGGTTGGACAATGAAAAAGACAAAAGTAGGAATATCTTTTAAGAGACTACTGCATTAGTTCGAGCGCGTGATAAGGTATTGAGAGATTCTTGAAGTGCCTGAAGCAAGGATTCACTAATGTTCAGTTTTGGAAAACTGGTAATCCATGTATAATAGGTACGAATAACTTTCAGCTAACCAAAATGGTAATTTAGAAAGTAAACTCCTTTAAGACAAGGCCTGTTTTCTTTTGCAGCCTCAGTGTAGACAGAGTGCTCTATACATCATACCCCATTTAACAAATGTCTGCCAAACTGAATTAACTTCTTAATTATTTAGGTAAGGAGGGAAGAAATTTGATATGATTTTCAAACATATATGTTAATACTGAAGAAACATAAGACTCAAAGACAATTCAGAAAAAGGACCCCCCCCCCGCCTTGAAAAAGCAGTTAAGTCCTTCTTCAACAGTGAACTTCTTTCTTCATGAGTTGTGTTTGGTTTACCAATCGGCACATTTTATATATTAAGAATCAGATCACAGAGAAAGATCTCAAACTGAACAAAAGATAAATAAACTTTGGATGTCACATAGTCAAGGTCATGAGTGCCTCCTGGCTTACAGCCCCCATCTTTACATGCAACAACACCTTCTGACTGATCACCATGTGAACATTTACAATCCACCTAAAGTTTTCTTTGTAATTAACTGTACCTGTATTAGTTTTCCTTATTCATGTGTATTGATTCTAACTGATTAACAACTGGTTGTCACCACTAGCCCCACAGAATCAGTTATATTTAACTAAAAAGAAATATACACAGCACTAGCATACAAAACATTACAAATACTTTGCAGTCAAGAAAATGAGATATAAAGGGATTTTAGTTTAAACATCGAGCATGCACACAGAGGTATTGACCAAAAAAATTAACTTACAAGACCTGCAGAAGTAAAACTGCCACTGCCCCCTAAAAGTGAACTATGCCAGGCCCCTTTTCAAACTTCATCAAATGTCAAGTTGCCTCAAGGGGCATTCCTATGAAAAATGTGGAAATTTCAACTCTGGACACTTTTATATGGGTTGGTAAACAATCTAGACAAGACATGTTGCACAAAAGAAGGAATACTAGGCTGCATTCAAGTCAACTCTTCACAACAACCTCAGTTCTATCTTACATAAATCAGATGAGTCAACTACTCCATAAAGGAGGTTCTCCTTCCAAGAAGTACACAGTAGCTGATAGTACTCACCGCAGCTCGCTATCAAGTGCCTGGATAACTGCTGCAAAGCTGCGGCTCGTCTGGTTCAAATACTTGTAACAAGTTTTCAGGCCATCGCTGAGAGTGTCCTGTGGACAGAGAAGACAGGTGGAGGTGGAGGTGGAAGTAGAAGTTGAAGAGGCACGGGGCTGGGGTAAGCGAGAGATAGTAGGGGGCCAATAACATACTCCTTCCCCTCTGCACCAATCCCTACTAGTAGTCCAGGGGAAGAAGGCAAAGACATAACAGCGCTGGGAGTTCCCGACCCCTATCCCAGAAGCCCTGGGTGCTGCTGCAGGAGTCAGCCCCAGTGTGAGCTTGAAGAGGGCCCCAGCCTTGGTGCAGCAGGCAGCAGCCATGGGAGGCGGGGTTCAGTGCAGAGGCAGTCAGGACTTCCTTTCCATGGCTCCACGATCGACAGACTAAGAATAGGGAGGCATTGACTTCCCAACCCCAAAACAAACACAAACTCCCCAGTTTTGGCCAGATAAACAGCCAAAGAGCCCTGGGACACCCACTTCCACTCCATGCTCCGCCCCCACACGTGGAATAACAAGTGGTCACTTCCTTAACCCCTTAAAACCCACTGAAGAACCTAGCACTCCTAGTTCCTTTCACTTTAAACTTTAACAATTACCTCCTTATTAGAAATTCACAGATTTAGAGAGTTTGATGGGTCCTTAGAGATAGTTATCTAATACAACCTCCTTTACACAAAAGGAAACTGAGAACCAAAATAGGTGAGTTTTTGCTGAGGGTCACATATTTGGACCCAGGTCTCACAACTCCAAAACAAGTGTTAATTCTATGGTACACCATAATGTTATTCTCATTAAAAAAATAATAGCACCATAGAGTATTCTCAAAAAGTTCAGTATTTCTTGAATAATCTATTTCCTTAAGCTTAGGTACTGCAGCTGCTACTGCCTACAAAATAAGATTTGAACTTATCAGAAAGGTGGCTATTCCTGTTATAGTACCTGACTACCTTCCCTTTTTGACTACACTGCGGGCTGGTCTTTTGCCTTCTAAGGAGGGGGGAAAGGTAGGAGGGAAAAAACTTGTAACTCAAATTTTTTTTAAATGAATGATAAGTTTTTTTCCACATAATTGGGAAATATTTAATGAAATAAATGAAAAAATATTTAAAATAAAATCCAAATCCATTGTTCATTCAAGTACATAGGGATGGATTTCATCTTGTCTATAACGTCTTATTAAAGGACCACAGATGAGATGATTTGAAAACACTGATTAAAATAGCACTGACGATAACTTAACAGAAGCTGTATGTTATCTGGGAATATATCTACCAAGATTTACTCAGGAACTACATGAATCTAACTACAAAACATTCTTTGCAGAAATAAAGACAGACCTAAGTAACTGGAAAAACATTAATTATTTCCAGTTATGCAAAGTCAATATTATACAAATGACCATGTTACCTAAATTTATTTATTCAATGCTGTAAAGCTACCGAAAGAATATTTTATAGAACTAGAAAAAATACTGAAGTGCATATGGAGGAACAAAAGGTCAAGAATCTCAAGGGTAACTGTGGGGGAAAAAAAAGTGGGAAGTAAGGGGTTATAGCAATACCAGACCTTAAAGCGCACTACAAAACATCACAGCAATTTGGTACTGATTAAGAAAAGATTGATCAGTGGGACAAAAAAAGATACACAATTTACAGAAGCAAACACCGAGTAGTATAGTGTTTAATAAACCTAAAGACTGGGGCAGCGAAGTGGTACAGAGGATAGCGCTCTAGCCTTGGAGTCAGGAGGACCTGAGTCCATATCTGGCCTCAGACACTTGACACTTACTAGCTGTGTGACCCTGAGCAAGTCACTTAACCACGACTGCCTCACCAAAAAGCAAAGAAAAATAAAATAAATCTAAAGACTTAGTTACTGGAGGAAAGACTCACTGAGAAAATAGGCATAGACCAACAGCTCATACCATATACCAAGATAAGCTCCAAATGGACATATGACAAATATAAAAGATCATATCATTAGCAAATTAGTGGTGCAAGGAAGAAATTACCTTTTAGATCTGTAGAGAAAGGAAGAGGTCATAATTAAGCAACTGACAGTGCGGATCACAAAAAATAAAACGGAAAATTCTGACTGTGTAAAATTTAAAATTTTTGTACAATCAATAAATATTTTATTAAGTACCTACTATGTATCAAGCATTGTGCTAAGGGCTAGGGTTACAAAGAAAGGTAAAAAAAGGTCCCTACTCACAAGATCATAGTCTAATGGGAGAAAAGACTGCAAACAACTATGTACAAACAAGATATAGACAAGATAAATTAAAGATAATCAACAAAAGAAAGGTACTAGCATTAAGGGGGATCAGGAAAGGATTTTTTGCAAAAAAGAAGGATTTTAGCTAGGGCTTGAAGGAAGTCAGAGAAGCTAGAGAAGTCAGGAAACAAGAAGAGAGAGAATTCTAGGCATGTGGAGAGAGGGGACTACAGGAGTAAAAAATACCCAAAGTTGAGAGAATATGGAGGAATAAAAGGAATAGCAAACCAGGAGGTCAAAGTCACCGGATTGTGGAGTATTACAAGGGAAGTAAGGGCATTGAATTCCAAACAGAATATTTTATATTTGATTCTGGAGGGGATAGGGAACCGACAGAATTTACCGAATAAGGGGGACAAAAGGCGGTGACCTGCCTTTAGGAAGATTACTTTGGAAACTATGTGAAGGATAGCCTGGAGGAGGCAGAGAACTGAGGCAGGGGAGACCAATCAGAAGGCTACTTTGATAATCCAGCTGTGAGATGATGAGTGCCTGACCTAGGGTGGTGACAATGTCAGAGGGGATAAAGCATATAGAATATAAGTTTCAAAGATAAAATTGACAGGCCTAACACATTGGATATGGAAAGTGAAAGAGAGTAAGAAGTCAAGGGTAACACCGAGGTTTCCAGCCTGGGTGATCAGGAAGGTGATGGTATCCTCTACAAAGTTATGAAAAAGAGAAGGTTTGTGAAGAAAGATAATGAGTTCAATTTTGGACATAGTGAGTTTAAGTTATCTATGGGACACCTAGTTCAAAATGTCTAACAAATGGCTGAGATATGCAAAAATAGAGATCAGAAGAAAGGTTAGGGTTAGACAAGAATACAAATTCAATGAAGCTAATATTAGAAAAGAAAATAGTCAACAGGGTAAAAAACTGTCACAAATTCTCTGATAAAAAGAGTCTTATTTCCAAAATACATAGGGAACTGATTCAAATGTATAATAATATGAGATATTCCCTGACTGATAAATGGTCAAAGGATGTGAACAGGCAGTTTTCAAAAGAAGAAATTCAAGTTAACAATAGACAAATAAAAATGCTCCAAATCACAAATAATTAGAGAAATACAAATTAAAGCAACTCTTAGATTCCAACTGATACACACTGGATTAGCAAAGCTAACAAAAATGGAAAACGACAAATCCTGGAGGGACCACAGCAAAACAAGTATATTAAGGCACTGTTGGAGGAGCTGGGAAGTAGTCTAACCCTTTTGGAAAAGTATTTGAAATTACGAGAGAAAAAGTCACTAAACTATTCCCATCCTTTGACCAATGACCTCACTATTGAGCACATACCCCAAGGAAAGAGATTAAAGAAAGAAAAGCTCTTTATGTGCCAGAACAGTCATGGAAGCAGTTTTTGAGGTTAAAAAAAAATTAAAAAAAAAAAACTAAACAAAAGAGGGTGATCATTGCCTAAGGAATAACTGATAAAATAAAGGCTTTATAGGACTATAACTAAATGTTTTTGTGCAAGAAATGAAAAATATGGGAAATTCTGAGAAACATAGGAAAATCTTTATGAAATGAAAAGCAAAATAAGGAGAACTCAAAAAAAAAAGACCGATATATATAATGACTACAATAACATAAGTATTTCTAAAAGGAAGTTAAGATTGAGTAAACACAAAATTACAGTAGGTCTCTGAGAACAAATAATGAGATAGCAGCTATAATTTACATGGTACTTTAGGGTTTACAATGTACTCAAGATGTTATCTAATTTGATCCTAACATTTCTATGAGGTAGGTGCTAAAGACAGATCTATACTTTCAGTGTAGAAAGATGGGGGATTTCTAGGACTAATTATTGCATACATTATCAGACAAGATTTCTGTATCAGAAAATAAAAAGGGCAAAAGACCCCTCTACTAAAGCTCTGATAGTTTCACTGCTTAAAAATGTAGATAATGGGGCAGCTAGGTGGTGCAGTGGATAGAACACTGACCCTGGAGTCAGGAGGACCTGAGTTCAAATCTAACTTCAGACACATAACACTTACCACCTGTGAGATGCTGGGCAAGTCACTTAACCTCACATCCTAGCCAAAAGAAACAAAAACAAAAACAAAAAATGTAGACAGCACACTGAATGTAATTCTAAAAATTTTCTATGAAGAGAATATTTAAATCCAATAGGGACAACATGCTCCTTTTTGTAGACAATACTGTACCAATTGCTTCAGTGTCCCAGAACATTATAAGGATTCTTCAATGAGATCCATAGCTATCTAAGAAACTGGTTTGGTAATCCATATGGAAAAAAACAAAGTAGAAAAGTAATACATATTGTCCAGATGATGAGATACAACTGGATAAGAAACCAACATTACATTTGTCTTTAGGCAGGCACTGTAGAAGGACAATGAGATAGGCCCAGAATCGAACAAAAGAAGAACAGGCTGGACTGCATTTGGGAAAAATGCAATGTTCTCAAGGATAGTATGACGTTCACTGTTACCAAAGTCTATCTTTCTAATTCCAATAATCCCCCTAGTGATGAACTATTGGCTGCAAATCAAGAAACACCAAAAGTTCTAAAGAATCTTTGTAGGTCATCCAAATGGCAGTGGAGAACATCAAAGAAGTGGAACAAAAGACTTCACCACAACATTATGATTAGAAAACAAGGTGGTCTGTGTGGTCATGTAGTGACAGAGATGGAAAGGCATCTTCAGAATATTGTTTGTCCTTTGTTTTCAAAGAGGACCAATGACACCATGGAGTGATGTCTTGACTCATTCAAGAAATGGATTTAAGTGAGGCAGAATCACACAGTCTCTCTGTACCTCACTCTTCCAATCATTGAAGTCCAGTGGCAAGACAAAAGTCAAGATGACTAGCAATGGCTGGGGATGCAGTGCGTGACCTTGGCATCTTCAATGCCTTGACAGAGCACTAAGTGTTCCAGAGTACCTGCTTCAGCAGCCTTTATGGCTATTGGAACAAATTGTTCTCATATGCCCATTCCACCAGGGGAAGTCTTCATATGGTTGGGGCAGACATCCCTCTAACACACTGACCAGTTTGAGGCCCTCTCGTTATCTTTAACCTGGTTTAGCCTGTCTGCCGAAACGGTTTACCAAGATGTGTTCACATGCTACAGCTTCTTGGAGCCATGGATGAGAGTGGACTGCCAGGTAGACAACAAAGGTGGATGAGCAGCCCTGAAAAG